GCGGCCTTGTTAGCTAGCTAACTCGTATAAATAAAGTAGCTAACTAATCTTGCTGTTTCAACCCTCTCATTTTGATCGATCGTAGCTAACGTTAACAAGCTATGTCACAGGCACGTTTGATTGTGCGCAATGCCGGGTTCGCTAGTAGCTAACTAGCTAGTAATTTCCGGATGAGCAACAATAGTAAAACAGTTGTCATTTTAAGGCGGGGCGATAGCATTTCGCTCGTTATGCTACCATTGGCGATTATAGTTAGCTCGGCGATGAATCAATCTAACGTTAAATCCATTGCACATTCAATGTAGCTAACTAAAAGTACATGAATTGTACAGTGTGTCCAGAGCCATCTGTGTGTAAATGCTAGCCAGCCCCGTCTGTTCTATGCTAATCATTACAACAGGTACAAATGGGTGTGGCATGGCAGGGAGTGAATGCACATCCGCGTTTTTCTTTACACGGTAGGAACCAGGCAGCCCCCCCCCCCCCCCCCCCCCCCAGGCTAGCGTGATTTCACTGGTGTGTATTGCATACCATCCACATGAAGTCTTTCCTGGATAATGTTTCCAGTGCAAAGGCTGCATGCATGTTAGCGGAAATCAACAGTGCATGTGTCGTGACCCCAAGCCACAGTACACCAGGCTAGTCTACATGTACATGCTGAAATGGAAAATCTGGGATTGATTGAGCATGGTAAATCAGTGCTGTCGGTAGACCCGTGGGCCATTCTGCATGGTACCAACGGATGTAGGTTATTGATTCATTCACACTAAAGAAGATGTCCCCCACCCCCAGTGTAGTACTTCTCTCACTACTGTCTGTTTGGGTAGGCCCTGGTTTCTGCTCTGTGGACCATTTGTTACATTGTGGATCAAAACGCACTTCACTTTAGTTTCTAAATTACTAGGAAGAAACTGTTCGCTACAATTACCAGAGTGATATTGTAACTTGTTCTGGTACTTGTTTTATTATCAGAAATGACCCTGAGCCTATGAGTTCTTACTTGAGCAAGACACTTAACACACAACTTGCTCTCCATCCAGGGGCGCTCCACTGCGGCTTGACCCTGTGTCCCCCTGTAATTGTATCAAGTGTAGCAGCCATTTCAGCAACATGCCATGCCAACATTTCTCTCTCCTCCTCTGAGTAACCATGTCTCTTCTATTGTCTGTCAGTGTGTTATAACCCTGTTATTCCAAGATGTCCCTCTCCAAGTTTGACATGTTTCTTCTTCTCTCTCCTCAGTCCCTAGTAGCCATGGTTGACATGTTTCTTCTTCTCTCTCCTCAGTCCTGAGTAGCCATGGTTGACATGTTTCTTCTTCTCTCTCCTCAGTCCCTAGTAACCATGGTTGACATGTTTATTCTTCTCTCTCCTCAGTCCTGAGTAGCCATGGTTGACATGTTTCTTCTTCTCTCTCCTCAGTCCCTAGTAACCATGGTTGACATGTTTCTTCTTCTCTCTCCTCAGTCCTGAGTAGCCATGGTTGACAAGAGCGAGGTGGTTCAGAAGGAGCTGGTCCAGAAGGCCAAGCTGGCGGAGCAGGCCGAGCGCTACGATGACATGGCGGCCTCCATGAAGGCTGTAACGGAGGAGGGCACCCAGTTGTCCAATGAGGAGCGGAACCTCCTCTCCGTGGCCTATAAGAATGTGGTGGGGGCCCGGCGCTCCTCCTGGAGGGTGGTGTCCAGCATCGAGCAGAAGACTGAGGGTAGTGAGAAGAAGCAGGCCATGGCCAAGGAGTACAGAGAGAAGATAGAGAAGGAACTGAAGGAGATCTGTAATGATGTGCTGGTAAGACTACTGTCTGTCTCTGTGTGGGGGTCTCTATTTACATTTACATTTTAGTCATTTAGCAGATGCTCTTATCCAGAGCGACTTACAGTTAGTGAATACATATATTTTTTTCATATTCTATTCTATGAGAAGCATAGTCTGTCTCTGTGTGGGGGTCTCTGGCCATTCGTGCTTTATGTCCTCTGATGCTACCCGTCTTTCACCCAGACCGTAGGAAGGAGGACTAGACTATAGTTTCTACAGCTACTAAATCCCCATCAGATATGATGCTTAGTGTTTTAGGTGGCTTGACCCATAGTGAGCTTTCATCCTTCAAAATGCCATATCATTTGCTATCCATCAACTGCTTGCTATGTCAATTTATTGAGGAGGTGCTACAACTGGGGCTCTCCCCCAAACCTTGCCCCTCCCCTCCTCCTGTAATCATTGAGGTTTTCCTGCCTGGCCCTGGTCCAGTTCTGTCAGTAATCAGATGTCAGCCAGTACCCAGGACCTCATTCAGCTCATTATTCCATTCCTCATCTCTGTCCCTTTGTAGAGACACTCTGAGAGGGACAAGTGTCTCAGGTGAGAGAGATGCATCCCCCTGGGTGCATGTTTTGGTTGTTGCCCTAGCATTGGGCCTTCCCCAAACTGTTGCCACAAAATTGGAAGCACAGAATCGCGTTTCCACTGCTCCAGAGTCCAATGGTGGCGAGCTTTACACCACTCCAGCCGACGCTTGGCATTCCGCATGGTGATCTTAGGCTTGTGTGCGGCTGCTCGGCCATGGAAACCCATTTCATGAAGCTCCCGACCAACAGTTCTTGTGCTGACGTTGCTTCCAGAGGCAGTTTGGAATTCAGTAGTGAGTGTTGCAACTGAGGACAGATGATTTTAACGCACTTCAGCACTCGGCGGTGCCGTTCTGTGAGCTTGTGTGGCCTACCACAATGTTTGTCTATGGAGATTGCATGGCTGTGTGCTCAATTTTATACACCCGACGGGTGTGGCTGAAATAGCCGAATCCACTAATTTGAAGAGGTGTTCACATACTTTTGTATATACAGTGGGGAGAACAAGTATTTGATACACTGCCGATTTTGCAGGTTTTCCTACTTACAAAGCATGTAGAGGTCTGTAATCACATTGTATGATTTTTAAGTAATTAATTTGCATTTTATTGCATGACATAAGTATTTGATCACCTACCAACCAGTAAGAATTCCGGCTCTCACAGACCTGTTCGTTTTTCTTTAAGAAGCCCTCCTGTTCCCCACTCATTACCTGTATTAACTGCACCTGTTTGAACTCGTTACCTGTATAAAAGACACCTGTCCACACACTCAATCAAACAGACTCCAACCTCTCCAAAATGGCCAAGACCAGAGAGCTGTGTAAGGACATCAGGGATAAAATTGTAGACCTGCACAAGGCTGGGATGGGCTACAGGACAATAGGCAAGCAGCTTGGTGAGAAGGCAACAACTGTTGGCGCAATTATTAGAAAATGGAAGAAGTTCAAAATGATGGTCAATCACCCTCGGTCTGGGGCTCCATGCAAGATCTCCCCTCGTGGGGCATCAATGATCATGAGGAAGGTGAGGGATCAGCCCAGAACTACACGGCAGGACCTGGTCAATGACCTGAAGAGAGCTGGGACCACAGTCTCAAAGAAAACCATTAGTAACACACTACGCCGTCATGGATTAAAATCCTGTAGCGCACGCAAGGTCCCCCTGCTCAAGCCAGTGCATGTCCAGGCCCGTCTGAAGTTTGCCAATGACCATCTGGATGATCCAGAGGAGGAATGGGAGAAGGTCATGTGGTCTGATGAGACAAAAATAGAGCTTTTTGGTCTAAACTCCACTCGCCGCGTTTGGAGGAAGAAGAAGGATGAGTACAACCCCAAGAACACCATCCCAACCGTGAAGAATGGAGGTGGAAACATCATTCTTTGGGGATGCTTTTCTGCCAAGGGGACAGGACGACTGCACCGTATTGAGGGGAGGATTGATGGGCCCATGTATCGCGAGATCTTGGCCAACAACCTCCTTCCCTCAGTAAAAGCATTGAAGATGGGTCGTGGCTGGGTCTTCCAGCATGACAACGACCTGAAATACACAGCCAGGGCAACTAAGGAGTGGCTCCGTAAGAAGCATCTCAAGGTCCTGGAGTGGCCTAGCCAGTCTCCAGACCTGAACCCAATAGAAAATCTTTGGAGGGAGCTGAAAGTCCGTATTGCCCAGCGACAGCCCCGAAACCTGAAGGATCTGGAGAAGGTCTGTATGGACGAGTGGGCCAAAATCCCTGCAGCAGTGTGTGCAAACCTGGTCAAGACCTACAGGAAACGTATGATCTCTGTAATTACAAACAAAGGTTTCTGTACCAAATATTAAGTTCTGCTTTTCTGATGTATCAAATACTTATGTCATGCAATAAAATGCAAATTATTACTTTAAAATCATACAATGTGATTTTCTGGATTTTTGTTTTAGATTCCGTCTCTCACAGTTGAAGTGTACCTATGATAAAAATTACAGACCTCTACATGCTTTGTAAGTAGGAAAACCTGCAAAATCGGCAGTGTATCAAATACTTGTTCTCCCCACTGTATGTAAACGTAATATTTCAGTTATTTAAATTTTTAATACGTTTACAAACATTTCTATACACCTGTTTTTGCATTGTCATTATGGGGTATTGTGTATAGATTGATCAGGGGGAAAAAGCAATTTAAGCAATTTTTGAATAAGCTGTAATGTAACAAAATGTGGAAAAAGTCAAGGGGTCTGAATACACTGTATGTAGAATATTGGCCTGTTGGAAACTACAACTCTACTACATCACACGGCTGGAAACTACAACTCTCTACTACATCACACGGCTGGAAACTACAACTCTCTACTACATCACACGGCTGGAAACTACAACTCTCTACTACATCACACGGCTGGAAACTACAACTCTCTACTACATCACACGGCTGGAAACTACAACTCTCTACTACATCACACGGCTGGAAACTACAACTCTCTACTACATCACACGGCTGGAAACTACAACTCTCTACTACATCACACGGCTTGATCTGATTTATCTCTAGAGAAACTGGTGCTGGGGTCTGGACCTGTCTATACACTGTTAGGTGAAACCTTGGTGCTGGGGTCTCTCTTACCCACTCGGTGGTCCCTGATGAGGGAATATTCAAATTCTTGACCATTATGATTGAAAGCAAGTCATTGATTATTTCCTGTCTGGATAAGCCAGCCTACAGAGCCAAACCATCAATGTTGTCCGTCTTTGTACTATTGGTCACCTTACCCAGGACTGGTACTAACAATTCACATGTAAATAACTGAGTGTGGTGGCTGGGTGTTATTTGCATATTTCTAACAAACTGTCTTCTGTCTCTCTCTCTCTACAGGGTCTTCTGGACAAGTTCCTCATCCCCAATGCTACTCCAGCCGAGAGCAAAGTCTTCTATTTGAAGATGAAAGGAGATTACTACCGCTACTTAGCCGAGGTGGCTGTTGGAGAGGAGAAAGCCGGTAAGCCCTGTGCTAAGTCTCCTTTGTGCTAGCCAACCAGGTGTGTGTGTGTTTGGGAACATGTAGTCAGGTGTGTAATCCACACCTCTAGAGGTAGACGGGGCCAGGACCGGCTCCTGTTAACTAGGCACTACAGCAGGGGTTCCTAAACTTTTTTGGCCTGCAACCCCATTTTGATATCAACCTTTTTTTGCGACTCCACCATCTAAAAAAAAGTAGCGTAATGGACAGCCAATGTCTGCTTTTTTATTGGGCTATGACAGTCTGTTACAAATCAGTCTGACAGTATGTACCAAGGCGATTTGTTTTATTTCTGTTTTTATCGCCATCTCATTTTAAAATCACAGCTAGCGGTGTGGTTCAGAGGGCTGGTAACAGCTAGCGGTGTGGTTCAGAGGGCTGGTAACGGATAGCGGTGTGGTTCAGAGGGCTGGTAACAGATAGCGGAGTGGTTCAGAGGGCTGGTAACGGATAGCGGAGTGGTTCAGAGGGCTGGTAACGGATAGCGGAGTGGTTCAGAGGGCTGGTAACGGATAGCGGAGTGGTTCAGAGGGCTGGTAACGGATAGCGGAGTGGTTCAGAGGGCTGGTAACGGATAGCGGAGTGGTTCAGAGGGCTGGTAACGGCCAGCGGTGTGGTTCAGAGGGCTGGTAACGGCCAGCGGTGTGGTTCAGAGGGCTGGTAACGGCTAGCGGAGTGGTTCAAAGGGCTGGTAACGGCCAGCGGTGTGGTTCAGAGGGCTGGTAACGGCCAGCGGTGTGGTTCAGAGGGCTGGTAACGGCCAGCGGTGTGGTTCAGAGGGCTGGTAACAGCTAGCGGTGTGGTTCAGAGGGCTGGTAACAGCTAGCGGAGTGGTTCAGAGGGCTGGTAACAGCTAGCGGTGTGGTTCAGAGGGCTGGTAACAGCTAGCGGTGTGGTTCAGAGGGCTGGTAACAGCTAGCGGAGTGGTTCAGAGGGCTGGTAACAATGTTTGGTTTGTTAAATGTGATCTGCATCTCCAGCGCGTGTAATGTCTGTTTTTATAGTTTACTCTGTTTGCTACTGGAGTAGTCTTTCTCCCTCCCCTCCTGGTGCATGCTGCTAACCACACCAAGCCCTGCCCCCTGTCACGCCAAGCCCTGCCCCCTGTCACGCCAAGCCCTGCCCCCTGTCACGCCAAGCCCTGCCCCCTGTCACGCCAAGCCCTGCCCCCTGTCACGCCAAGCCCTGCCCCCTGTCACGCCAAGGCCCTGCCCCCCCCCCCTGCCCCTTTCACCACACCACTAGAGAGAGATGGTAGCAGACACTACCATAGAGGAGCTGGTAGCAGAACCTAACCAGAGAGAGATGGTAGCAGACACTACCAGAGAGAGATGGTAGCAGACACTACCAGAGAGAGATGGTAGCAGACACTACCAGAGAGAGATGGTAGCAGACACTACCAGAGAGAGATGGTAGCAGACACTACCGAGAGAGATGGTGCAGACCACTACCAGAGAGAGATGGTAGCAGACACTACCAGAGAGAGATGGTAGCAGACACTACCAGAGAGAGATGGTAGCAGACACTACCAGAGAGAGATGGTAGCAGACACTACCAGAGAGAGATGGTAGCAGACACTACCAGAGAGAGATGGTAGCAGACACTACCAGAGAGCGATGGTAGCAGACACTACTAGAGAGAGAGGGTAGCAGACACTACCAGAGAGCGATGGTAGCAGACACTACCAGAGAGAGATGGTAGCAGACACTACCAGAGAGCGATGGTAGCAGACACTACCAGAGAGCGATGGTAGCAGACACTACCAGAGAGAGATGGTAGCAGACACTACCAGAGAGAGATGGTAGCACACACTACCAGAGAGAGATGGTAGCACACACTACCAGAGAGCGATGGTAGCACACACTACCAGAGAGAGATGGTAGCAGACACTACCAGAGAGAGATGGTAGCACACACTACCAGAGAGAGATGGTAGCAGACACTACCAGAGAGCGATGGTAGCACACACTACCAGAGAGAGATGGTAGCAGACACTACCAGAGAGAGATGGTAGCAGACACTACCAGAGAGAGATGGTAGCAGACACTACCAGAGAGAGATGGTAGCAGACACTACCAGAGAGAGATGGTAGCAGACACTACTAGAGAGAGAGGGTAGCACACACTACCAGAGAGCGATGGTAGCACACACTACCAGAGAGAGATGGTAGCAGACACTACCAGAGAGAGATGGTAGCAGACACTACCAGAGAGCGATGGTAGCACACACTACCAGAGAGAGATGGTAGCAGACACTACCAGAGAGAGATGGTAGCAGACACTACCAGAGAGAGATGGTAGCAGACACTACCAGAGAGCGATGGTAGCACACACTACCAGAGAGAGATGGTAGCAGACACTACCAGAGAGAGATGGTAGCAGACACTACCAGAGAGAGGGTAGAGATGGTATTAGACACTACTAGAGTGAGATGGTAGCAGACACTACCAGAGCGAGATGGTAGCACACACTACTAGAGAGAAAGAGAGAGGGAGAGAGAAGGGTATGACCTGTTTCCTTTGTGCTGCAGCAGTAGAGCTGTGTCCTGGTTGATCCAGGATGGTTGTCTGCTCTGATCCAGGGCTTTAGGTCTTCTATAAACATTACTACATGGTGTGCCACACCCAAGAACATAGGGCTGACTCACTGACTTTACTGCTACGTAGGGTACCACGCCCATGAAACTGACCTCATTCGGCCCACTCATACATAGTCCTAGTGTTATTCATAGGAGTCATAGTTTGTGGACAGCCAGATATTCTGAATGAAGGGCACGCTGAGGCTAGTTCTAGTCACAGACGGAACCTGTGAGGGAGGCCAGTAGAGGCTAGTTCTAGTCACAGACGGAACCTGTGAGGGAGGCCAGTAGAGGCTAGTTCTAGTCACTGAAGGAAGCTGTGAGGGAGGCCAGTAGAGGCTAGTTCTAGTCACAGACGGAACCTGTGAGGGAGGCCAGTAGAGGCTAGTTCTAGTCACTGAAGGAAGCTGTGAGGGAGGCCAGTAGAGGCTAGTTCTAGTCACTGAAGGAACCTGTGAGGGAGTCCAGTAGAGGCTAGTTCTAGTCACTGAAGGAACCTGTGAGGGAAGCTAGTCAGAGAGAGAATGTGTGAACAGGAAGTTACAGCAGGGCGCGGTTCCTCTTAGTGTCAGTCTGTTGTGTTGCGCTGCACAGAGGAAGACGTCATCTAGTCTACACACCTCTCTGTTACTAGCAGAGGAAATATACCAACTTAATGCTCCTCATAGACCTAAGGCCCCGTACACCCTCACCACTACAAGGCCCCGTACACCCTCACCACTACAAGGCCCCGTACACCCTCACCACTACAAGGCCCCGTACACCCTCACCACTACAAGGCCCCGTACACCCTCACCACTACAAGGCCCCGTACACCCTCACCACTACAAGGCCCCGTACACCCTCACCACTACAAGGCCCCGTACACCCTCACCACTACAAGGCCCCGTACACCCTCACCACTACAAGGCCCCGTACACCCTCACCACTACAAGGCCCCGTACACCCTCGCCACTACAAGGCCCCGTACACCCTCACCACTACCAGGCCCCGTACACCCTCACCACTACAAGGCCCCGGTACACCCTCACCACTACAACCATTGTGATACCGTTATCACTTTGACTCATTGACTACAACCGTAACTTCCAGACCACAACATGCCTAGATTTGGTTGCTCTTAGTTTTTCAAGTTGTATTTTTTGGGTTAGTATTTCTGGTCTTAAAGACAGAACACTGTCTGAATAAAGTTATTCAGTAAAATGACAATTGATGTTATCCTCTTAAAGAGATGTATTTGTTTAATGTAGTATATTTATAATCTCTCTCTCTCCTCCCTCCAGCCATCATCGGTAACTCCCAGGAGGCCTATAAGGATGCGTTTGAGATCAGTAAGAACGACATGCAGCCCACCCACCCTATCCGTCTGGGTCTGGCTCTCAACTTCTCGGTCTTCTATTACGAGATCCTCAACTCCCCTGAGCAGGCCTGCAAACTGGCCAAGACGGTATGTGGCCGGTTGATGAAGGGTTGACAGTCCTGTAGGGCAGTGAGTCTCAACTGGTGGGTCGCAGGAAGTTTTCAAAGGGTCCTGGGTGTCTGAAGAAGGTGACTGAAGTGACCCCTTGAAATGTAGGTCCTGCGACAAAACCAGTTGAGATTCACTGCCGTAGGGCCTTTATACACGTGCAAAGGATATGGGACCGCATAAGACGGCTTGCTTGGATAACGTCATATCTACTCTGTTTATTATCTATCCTGATTACCTAGTCACTTTACCCCTACCTACATGTACATATTACCTCCACTAACTGGTACCCCTACACACTGACTCTGTACTGGTACTCCTTGTATATAGTCTCATTACTACCTCATACCCCTACACGCTGACTCGGTACTGGTACTCCTTGTATATAGTCTCATTACTACCTCATACCCCTACACGCTGACTCTGTACTGGTACTCCTTGTATATAGTCTCATTACTACCTCATACCCCTACACACTGACTCTGTACTGGTACTCCTTGTATATAGTCTCATTACTACCTCGTACCCCTACACAGTGACTCTGTACTGGTACTCCTTGTATATAGTCTCATTACTACCTCGTACCCCTACACAGTGACTCGGTACTGGTACTCCTTGTATATAGTCTCATTACTACCTCATACCCCTCACACTGACTCTGTACTGGTACTCCTTGTATATAGTCTCATTACTACCCTCGTACCCCTACACAGTGACTCTGTACTGTACTCCTTGTATATAGTCTCATTACTACCATCATACCCCTTCACACTGACTCGGTTACTGGTACTCCTTGTATATAGTCTCATTACTACCATCATACCCCTTCACACTGACTCGTACTGGTACCCTTGTATATAGTCTCATTACTACCTCATACCCTACACGTGACTCGGTACTGGTACTCCTTGTATATAGTCTCATTACTACCTCATACCCCCTTCACATGACTCGTACTGGTACTCCTTGTATATAGTCCTCATTATTACCTCATACCCCTACACAGTGACTCGGTACTGGTACTCCTTGTATATAGTCTCATTATTGTTATTTTATTGTGTTAGTATTTCCTTTTTTAATTGGCTACTTTTTCTGACTTTTTAACTCTGCATTGTTGGTTAAGGGCTTGTTAGTCAGCATTTCACGGTAAAGTCTACACCTGTTTTATTCGGCGCATGTGACCGCTGCGGCCGCTGATTGGCTGAATACCCAGGGCGTGATTTGGTTGGTAATGCTGAACGATTATCCAACATTTCGGTACATTTTAGGTTTTTAAACAATTCATTGACCGACGTAGGTTCAATTATTTGACTTCCATTAATTATTTTATTATTCTATGAGCTCAGTGTGCACAGTTTCTCTAGAGATATATCAGATCCAGCCTGAACTGTGTGATGTAGTAGGGAGTTGGAGTTTCCAACAGGCCCAATATTCTATATAGTTTACCGCATAAAACGTGGTAATTAACTACAATGACCATAATCCATTGCGCATCTATACTGAACAAAAATATAAACGCAACATGTAAAGTGTTGGTCCCGTGTTTCAAAGATCACCGAAATTTCCACACGCACAAAAAGCATATTTCTCTCATTTGGTGCATAAATTTGTTTACATCCCTGTTAGTGAGCATTTCTCCTTTGCCAAGATAATCCATCCACCTGACAGGTGTGGCATATCAAGAAGCTGATTAAACAGCATGATCATTACACAGGTGCACCTTGTGCTGGGGACAATAAAAGGCCACTCTAAAATGTGCAGTTTTGTCACACAACACAATGCCACAGATGTCTCAAGATTTGTGGGAGCATGCAATTGGCATGCTGACTGCAGGAATGTCCACCAGAGCTGTTCCCAGAGAATTGAATGTTCATTTCTCTACCATAAGCCGCCTCCAACGTCATTTATTAATTGTTTTATTCTGTGCTACATCATTCTAACCAAATAATCAAAACCGAAATAAAAAATGTGATTGATCTTGTGATTTTAAACCTAACCATAACCACACTGGTAACCTTGTGATTTTAAACCTAACCTTAACCACACTGGTAACCTTCTGATTTTAATCCTAACATTAACCACACTGGTAACCTTGTGATTTTAATCCTAACATTAACCACACTGGTAACCTTATTTCTAACCTTAAATTTAGACCAAAAAGCTCATTTTTGTTTTCAGTAATTTTTTTACGATCAAGCCAATTTTGACTTTGTGGCTGTGGTAACTAGTGGAAACCAGGGAGAACGCAACAAGCATTCAGATACAATAAGTGAAAACATGATCTAGCTGGGGATGGCTAGCTAACATAATGTCACAAAGCATGATGCGCTAGCCAGGTAACTTTCATAACTTCATATTTCTGAGTTAGTCAGATATTAGTTAAGACTTGAAATTGGCATGGGAGCTAACCAGCTAGCAAGCTACCAGCTAGCTATAGCTAACTCGCTGCTTATCAGAGGTAGATAACAGGTTAATTTGAGCAAAACAATTCACCAACATTTTTCTTAATATTTCTCAAAATGACTGTAGCTAAGCTAATTCATTTGATGATGCTTTGTGATGCACCCAGTTTTCTGCTGTGTTATTCCACGTCCCCCTGTCACCTGCAGTAGAATCTGATGAACAACATGGGGGAATGCTTTTTGCCAGAGTTGAGATGCAAAAGGTTCTAGCTAGTGTGTCCCTGTGTCCGTCGTGTTTTAATGTCACGTGCACAAGTACAGTGAAATGCCTTTCTTGCAAGCTCCAAACCCAACAATGCAGTAATCAATATCAATGTAGCACAACAATGTGATTGGATGTAACTGTTGTTCTCCTGCAGGCTTTCGATGATGCTATTGCAGAGCTTGATTCTCTGAGTGAAGACTCGTACAAAGACAGCACCTTGATCATGCAGCTGCTGAGAGACAACTTGACAGTAAGTGTCACACTACATCATAGTTCCCCTGCTGTCACTGGGTTGAGTTATGATGTAGAGAGGTTGGGTCATGTATTACATCATAGTTCCCTGCTGTCACTGGGTTGAGTTATGATGTAGAGAGGTTGGGTCATGTATTACATCATAGTTCCCTGCTGTCACTGGGTTGAGTTATGATGTAGAGAGGTTGGGTCATGTATTACATCATAGTTCCCCTGCTGTCACTGGGTTGAGTTATGATGTAGAGAGGTGGGTCATGTATTACATCATAGTTCCCTGCTGTCACTGGGTTGAGTTATGATGTAGAGAGGTAGGGTCATGTATTACATCATAGTTCCCCTGCTGTCACTGGTTGAGTTATGATGTAGAGAGGTTGGTCATGTATACATCATAGTCCCTGCGTCACTGGGTTGAGTTATGATGTAAGAGGTAGGGTCATGTATTACATCATAGTTCCTGCTGTCATGGTTGAGTTATGATGCAGAGGTAGGGTCTGTTACACATAGTTCCCTGCTGTCACTGGTGAGTTATGATGTAGAGAGGTAGGTCATGTATAATCACAGTTCCTGCTGTCAGGGTGAGTTATGATGTAGAGAGGTAGGGTCATGTATTACTCATAGCTCCCTGCTGTCACTGGGTTGAGTTATGATGTAGAGAGGTAGGGTCATGTATTACATCATAGCTCCCTGCTGTCACTGGGTTGAGTTATGATGTAGAGAGGTAGGACAGTCACTGGTGTCTCACTCCTTTGGCACATATTCCTGAGACAAAGCAAAAGAATGTAACCTGTGTTTGACCTGCTAAATGAATGTACCCAGTACGAGTTCAGCTCTGCTGACATGTAATGTGTATGTTGTCCTACAGTGTTTGAACATGTTCTCTCTCATCTCTGTAGTTGTGGACTTCTGACAACCAGGGAGACGGGGAGGATGCTGAGGAGGGTAGAGACTGACCTGGTCCCTGTCTGTCTGACTGTCATCATCCCTGTCAACTCTTCATCCTCTATCTATCAACACTGAGACAGACAGACAGACGGACCACCTCATCCAGCCCAGCACCTCTCTTTAGTTCTGTCTGTCCCAACGTCTCACTCACCTCCATACGTTTACTCTTCTTTTGGAGTCATTGTTGGGGGGGTTGCTTTCCAGGACTTGGTTGAGGGAGGGGTTGGTGGGACGTACAGCATGGTAGGTTGAGGGAGGGTTTGGTGGGATGTACAGCATGGTAGGTTGAGGTGAGGCACTTGTCTACTGACCGTATTATTATTTGTGTGGCCAGCAATAGGGTTTTCCATGTATGTTGAAGGGTGAGGGCAAGTTCTCAACTCATGCAATGTGGCAAGTTCAGGTTTAGAATAAACCTGGTATACTCTACTACCTGTGTTCATGTTAATGATCTTGTGCTTGACAACATTGCTTGATTCATTTGTGGTTCAACATCAGTCTCTCTTGATTGGAGGAGGCAGCAGCGAGCGGTTTTAGTCTGTAGCTACCTAGACAACTGACAGCTACCTAGACAACTGACAGCTACCTAGACAACTGACAGCTACCTAGACAACTGACAGCTACCTAGACAACTGACAGCTACCTAGACAACTGACAGCTACCTAGACAACTGACAGCTACCTAGACAACTGACAACAGGAGCATTAGGGGATAGTCCTGAGGCATCTATCGATGGTGTTGTCTGCGCCCCAAATGGCACCCTAGTCTCTAAATATTGCACTACTTTAGACCTGAACTCTATGGGCCCTGGTCAGAAACCTGTGCACTATGAAGGGAATAGGGCGCCATTTGAGAGGAGACCTTGGATAGAGAGGTTACATTCCATAAAACTGTCACTATACTGCTCCAGTTTCTTCTTCTTCTTCAGTTTGACTGACCTGCTGACGTCATTGTATTTCTGTGTCATTTAGGAGGTATAGAAAAGTCTAGAACAAAGAGGACATGCTTAATACTGGGACTGTTTGAACCAGCAGAGCAGGATGAATTTCCCCATGTGCTTATCTAGTTACTGCTTTTTCCAGTTAAGGTTTTTATTTTAATAATAGTTTTTTTCTTTTGATACTTGTGGCTAAGAACTAGTTAATGGGGAGGAAAGGGAGATTGTTGTTGGGCTGGCTAGCTTTGTCCATGTCTTTTGGAATTTTCATACAAAACACCCAAGCATAACTGTTATCTGGAGGGAAATGTTATTTCATGTATGTGGAATAAAAAGGTAATTTAAAAGTTTACAGTGTCCAGTCTGAATTATTTTAGAGCTCCAATCTCCAGTTTTCCTCACACCTTTATAAGAGATCACAAATCTGGCAATGCCGTGACCCAGTCTATTGGTCCCATGACTCTCCAGAGTATGAAATGAAGGGATCGGCATACTGCAAACAGTCCAGGTTGGCTGGTTCAAACAAAACATGGTATTTCCCTTCAACTGAGGAAACAAGGTTGTTGGTTAAGCTACTGTTGTGTCGACAGCGTTCCACAGGGATTCTGGGCCATGTTGACTCCAATGCTTCCCACAGTCTGTCAAGTTGGCTGGATGTCCTTTGGGTGGTGCACCATTCTTGATACACAGGAAACTTGAGCGTGAAAAATCCAGCAGCATTGCAGTTCTTGACACAAACCGGTGCACCTGTTACCATACCCTGTTCAAAGGCACTTAGCATTTGTCTTGCCCATTCACCCTCTGAATGGCACACATACACAATCCATGTCTGAATTGTCTCAAGGCTTAAAAATCCTTCTTTAACCTGTCTCCTCCCTTTCATCTACACTGATTGAAGTGGATTTAACAAGTGACATCAGTAAGGGATCATAGCTTTCACCTGGACAGTCTTTCATGGAATGAGCAGATGTTCTTAATGTTTTGTGTACTAGGTGCACCAGGTCGGACTCCCCTTTGCCGCCAGAACTGACTCCAAACAGACTCTTTGCCTGTTTGATGGTTCGTCGGAGGGCATAGCGGGATTTCTTATAAGCTTCCGGGTTAGAGTCCCGCCGCTCCTTGAAAGCAGCAGCTCTACCCTTTAACTCAGTGCGGATGTTTCCTGTAATCCATGGCTTCTGGTTGGGGTATGTACGTACAGTCACTGTGGGGAGGACGTCGTCGATGCACTTATTGATGAAGCCAGTGACTGATGTGGTGTACTCCTCAATGCCATCAGAAGAATCCCGGAACATATTCCAGTCCTGTAGCTTAGCATCTGCTTCATCTGACCACTTTCTTATTGACAGAGTCACTGGTGCTTCCTGCTTTAGTTTTTGCTTATAAGCATGAATCAGGAGGATAGAGTTATGGTCAGATTTGCCAAATGGAGGGCGAGGGAGAGCTTTGTAGTGTCTCTGTGTGTAGAGTAAAGGTGGTCTAGAGCTTCTTTTCCTCTGGTTGCACATTTAACATGCTGGTAGAAATGAGGTAGAACAGATTTAAATTTCCCTGCATTAAAGTCCCCGGCCACTAGGAGCGCTGCCTCTGGATGAGCGTTTTCCTGTTTGTTTATGGCCTTATACAGTTCATTGAGTGCGGTCTTCGTGTCAGCATCGGTTGGTGGTGGTAAATAGACAGCTACGAAGAATATAGATGAAAACTCTCTTGGTAGATAGTGTGGTCTACCGCTTCTCATGATATACTCTACCTGTCGGGTGTCTGGAGCAAATCCCTCTCGTCCAACTCATGAAATAAAAATTATTTGTCCAGTTCAAGGTGAGTAATCGCTGTTCTGATGTCCAGAAGCTCTTTTCGGTCATAAGAGACAGTAGCAGCAACAAAGGTACAAAATAAGTTAAAAACAATGGGAAAAAACACACAAAATAGCACGGTTGGTTAAGAGTCCATATTACGGCAGCCATCCCCTCCGGCGCCATTATCACTCCTCAGTTGTCCAGTGTTGGTGATTGCGTGCCCACTGGAGCCGCTTCTTCTTGTTTTTAGCTGATAGGAGTGGAACCCGGTGTGGTCGTCTGCTGCAATAGCCCATCCGTGACAAGGATCGACGAGTTGTGTGATCCGAGATGCCGTTCTGCACACCACTGTTGTACTACGCCGTTATTTGCCAGTTTATGGCCAGCATGTTAGCTTGCATGATTCTTGCCATTCTCCTTTGACCTCTCATCAACGAGCTGTTTTCACCCACATGACTGCTGCTGACTGGATGTTTTTTGTTTGTCGCACCATTCTCTGTAAACCCTAGACACTGTCTGTAGGAGTGAACCATTGTTGTGAACGTGGTGGCGTGAAAAGCCCAGAAGGCCGGCCGTTTCTGAGATACTGGAACCGGCGCGCCTGGCACCGATGATCATACCACGCTCAAAGTCACTTAGGTCACAATTTTTTCCAATTCTAACGTTCAATCAAACAGTAACTGGATGCCTGTCAGCCTGCTTTATATAGCAAGCCACAGCCACACTGCCTGTAGGAGCGAACCATTTTCGTGAGCGTGGTGGTGTACCTAATAAACTGGCCACCACGGGCAGCTTATTATTGTGTATATATATATATTCAATAATATGACATGGGCCTGTTTTATTAATGACTTTTGCACAATTTTTCTGTTGTCATAATAATCTGTATTGAGCATTTGGCTGACCTACGAAGATGGGCCGGCCCGGTTTTCTGATTGGCTGAGCTGAGGTGTGGCCGGCCTGGTACTCTGATTGGCTGAGCTGAGGTGGCGTAAATTCACATTCAAAGTTAAACCACGTGCATCATCAGAGGGAATGACGGTGCTTTTAAGACAACTGGGAACTCGAAAAAAAACAAGGTCAAATCATGACATCAGTGATCTTCAGGTCGAAAAGTCAGAGCTCTAGAAAGATGCCAGAGATTCCAACTTGGAATTCCAAGTTGGATGACGGTTGAAAATTATTTTTCCCAGGCGAGCTAGTTTTTTTCTGAGTTCCCAGTTATTTTGAATGCATTGAAGTTGGAGATTTCCAAGTTCCCAGTTCCCGGTTGATCTGAAGGCGGCATAAAACCAGCCCTGACTCTGTCAGTCACTCAGTCAGAACAGAAAACCCCTGAAAGGTAGTGCTGAGAAAAAGGGCTCTTGATGCCGATGCTGCTAAATTAACCAATTTATTTGCTAAAATGTCTGGTTCTGCAGGTCCGAGTGCTGTGTCTGTGTCTGTGAGTAATGACAGATCAGCTGCTGTGGTGCAGTCGAGGTAGGAAGAAAACAGAGAAAGACACACTGACACAGATCATGTCGCCTAGGCCTAGTGTTTACACAGCGGGAAATGCAGAAGTATTTTATTTTTCGCAATGATAAGCTTGTCAAAAAAAATTTACCGATACAAACTTGAAACCACTTGAAACTCCTGGACAACAGTTGTGATTGTCCATTCCATATTGTCCATTTTAAAAAGTGTCCGTCTCGTTACATTGTCATACATGTTATCTCCAGCCTGTAGGCTACAGAAAACGTTGTGTGCCAAACAGGTGATGTATTGATTACAATATATATTTTTTAACCGTTTGGAACAATGTAAACAACACTAAATAAAGTATAAGCGTACCAGCGAGTCTGTTAAGCCTTTATTACAGCAAAGACTAAAAACAGTCGCATTCATTCGTGAATGCAATTTCCGAAATGGAACGGTTTATTGTTTAAGCTAATTATTAAAGGCTCACTTTATTTTATTTAAAAACGAAAATGCTTGATTGCATTTCAAATCATGAATGACTCATATGCTGTGTGATGACGTGGACGAATGAATGATTGATTGATAGAGTAGCCTATATAAATATTGAAATAATGACATGACTTATTATAATGATCATAATAACAGTAATAATGACAATAAGAAGGAGATCAAGAAAAAGGAGCGTTATTGTTATAATTATTATAAATATCATTTTTCGGATAATTTGGAATAAATTATAAATAATACCAGAGAGTTCTAACGAAAAAAGAGTGTAAAGCCTTTATTACAGCAAAGCAAAGAT